CATTAAGACAACCATGTAAATATGCCAGTTTCAGCCACTAAGGCTAGTTTTTATCTGTAGTCCACTGGCAGGTTAATGATAAATTAAAAAAACAATTGATACACATGTAATATATCAATTATAAAAAATGGTTTATAGTAGAACAAGTTACAATAAGCATTTCACACCCATGAAAACAAACATAAGGCATTTGTTAATTCAGATAGATTAATTTAACACCTTGGCTGTCACCCCAAATGTTAGTCGGTGTATTAGCCACCGGTGTCCTCATAACAGCGAAGGGCTTTTAAAACATGAATGTCCAAAAAGAGATTTCCAGAGTGATATTTTGCAATCCCCTCTAGCGGATCTTATGGTTCTATTTGATTGTAATTTTAAAGGTGGTGAGCCCAGTCAATGAAGCACTTTGTATGTAAGTATAATATCTGAATAGGTGATAATATTATCTCAACTCAAAAATTTATACTTACTTAATATTTTACAATGATGATATGAGTTAGATTTTTTTTTTTTATCCAGAGTTTTCAAAGCCTACTTATAAAATCTTTCTGTTGGCTGTAATATGAGGTTGCTCGCCGGGGACTCGCTCGTCAAGCAATAGGCTATATGGGAAGAAATTGTGGCATTAAAGTATTTTTTTTGAAGCTTCTACTGTGAAATTATTACTTGCATATATATTTTGGAACAGTAATACAGCACCTGATCTAGAAATTGTTCCCAAAGATGATACAGCTTCACAAGTCTTTTCTTGATGTCTTGGCTGATTTATTTTGACTTTACAACAGCGTCACACCAGAAATCGGTGTGTTTCAGCTGTGACATTAAAATGCATTCATGAGTTAATTGGAGGCAAGTGTGCCTCCAACTTACTCAAGTATGTCAGTTAACCTATCAGAGGTCTCCAAAGCTCTGCCCAACAATGGGCTTTTCCTCATTGTTCAGAGACAGTGATCATTTTGCATGTAAACATCTGTATTAGGACCTCCATCACTCTGTCAAGTTGTTTGCCATTAGGTTTCTTGCATGATTGCCCCATAGATAGAGCTCAATTCTTCTTCCCACCAACTTTGACCAGTTTCCCTCTCTCTACTAAAGAAAATCAGCCCCACAGCATGGTGCTGCCAACCTAATGTTTCCCATAGGGAGAGTGTGTTTTATGTGCAATATTAGTTTTCTGCCACAAATATACTGCTCAAAAAAATAAAGGCAACATTTCACTTTAATTTTGTGTGTGGCTCCAAATCCAGGCCTCCATTGGTTAATAAATTTGATTTCCATTGATGATTTTTGTGTGATTTTGTTGTCAGCACATTCAACTTTGTACAGAACAAAGTATTCAATGAGAATATTTCATTCATTCAGATCTAGGATGCGTTATTTGAGTGTTCCCTTTATTTTTTTTTGAGCAGTGTACAATTTTGCAAACAGGCCAATTAGTTCAGTTTTAATTTTCACATTTGGTTTGTCCCCCGCATGGATGGTGTCAAACTGCAAACACTACACAGTTAATGATTTTCTTTAAAAAAAAAAAAAAAAACTTTGTTCTTATTATTGCTTTTACTTTTGACACACTACAGGCCAAATTCATAGAATTAAGACTAACAGCTGCCCTGTCCACAGATCGTCACAGCTGAGATTGGAACTCTGCGTCTCCACCACAGTTACTGGGCCTCTTGGCTGCTTTTCTGATTACTGCTCCCTGTGCCTGACCTGTCAGCTTTGACGGGTTTGCATTTGGACCACGCTTTTTCCTTTTTCAGACAATCGACCATGACACAGTACTTGTCATTGAGATTGTCAATGCTTAGAATACTATTTTCTAACCTGAACTTGTTTTAAACTTCTCAACAACCTTATCCTTGACCCGTCTGTTTTCAATAAGATGTTTGTAAGAAGCACACTATTTAAGTGACTTTTGAACTGGATTTCATTTATGGGGAGTAAAGAGTGTGAAAAAAAACTGAAACCACTTGTTCCAAATCGTTATTTATTAAATGTTTCAAAAATACATGTGTTATTTTACTTCTCCTACACAATTATTTCTAACTTTTGTTGATCTATAATTTATTTTATCTCTTTTGAAATAGAAACAAAATATAGAGAATCTACTTTTGCAAAGTACTGTAAATGTAAGAATAAAAAATGCCCCTCACTGTTGTTGTGATTCAGATTTGGGTTGAACACATTAGTTATGATGCCTCTAGTTATGTGGGTTGCCTATTTTTCTGATGTGCTTAGGGAACACTGATGAGTGCTTATAGACCGCTAAACAGAGCTGCAGCTAAGCTGCTCATCCATTACCACAACTGCCCGAACACACCTCAGATTTAATGTGCCAGGGTCGTTTGCGTGGCAGCAGCTCAGCCTTCAGGGAGCTCATTCATGGCAAAATGCAGGCCAGGAGCAGATTAGATCAAAATCAGTGTGAGCCTTGTAATGCGGCCTCTAGTCTGTCCAGCCGGCTGAAGTAATACTGCACTTGCCCGGTGTTTAGAGACCCCCTTCGGAGCGGACCTGTCCGCATCAGGGAAGGGTTGATCATCATCCTGCTGTGTACCTGGAAAAAACAGGCTTCAGTGCCTTCCATGAAAGAGGGTTCATTAGGCTCCTACTCTGACTGATCACAGCTTTGGCAAAGAGAGCATACGAGGAGGGGGGAGAAGTGTCTTTACATTTACAACTGAGGCTGCAATGATGTGGGAATCGATGATTGAGTATTTGCCTCTCTCTCTGTTGTGCTGGTTAGGATCTCAAGCTGGGCTTCTATGTGAAGCAATACAGCGCTGGTAATGCGGCTACTGATGGAGAGACATAAAGCCAGAACAATCACGTAAATCATAGAGCTTCTCAAAAGAGCAATTACCCTGGTGGGAGTGAGAACTGTCCTCAAACCCATCTCAGAGCTGATTGTTCATCACTAAGGAGGCCGTTGGTCATTTAACCTTGAAAATTAGCAGTTTGCTTGCAGTTATAGATTTTATTGAGTTTTTGTAAACAGACCAGTTCCCAGTGGAATGAGTTTGTTTTACATCATTCCCTCATGTACTATTAGGCAATGTCAGTGAGCTCTAGATAACGCCTTATTATAGCTTAATCGTTTTACAGGCAGATGGGCAATTTTTGCTGGTTACTGGTGCTTACACTTGCAGACACTTTGCATGGTTGTTATGGACCATATACTCGACTGTGGTCTCATCTAGGTCTTAATTCTGGCTATGCCTTTCCGCGTTGTCAGACAGTGAGCAGGGATGCTCTGGTCACAGTATTGTTGCTGATTTCTTTTTTTCGAAACGCTTTGAGAGGAATGGGTCTTCCAGCCATCGTCTTGTCCTTGCATGGTCATAGGGGGGACAGTGACAATCTCCAACAGTCATTGGGTGAGAGGCGGGATACACCCTGAACAGGTTGACAGTAGGAATTGGACACATTTTGTCCAATTCCAGTCACTCTGCAGGAACTATAATTCTGTAGGAAGCGTGTTGTAATAAGACAAAAGCATAGCATTGAACATATGCTAGTTATTATTTATTAATATTGGGAGCAGATGTGAAGGTATGCAGTCTGTCTGAAATCAGTCTCTGTAAAATAGAGTTTTCTGACTATTTTAAGCAGAGACAAATGATTAGGAAACTTGCATCTTAAATTGTCTAGCGTCTTATGTTAGCAATAAAGATGGCTAGTAAAACTGCAGCCTTTGTGATTATTCTCTAAATAATATGGAACATTTCCCGACTTCTAAGATTTCGAAGAGGACACATTTAATAGGTTCACTCCCTTGCAGTGAGGATGAATTGCAAAGTTGTCATGGAAGCAATGGTTTTTAATAAAGTTATTTCATATCTCTGCTTATTTTGATTTTATTAGTAAATATTTAACTAACTTATCCTCACACATTACATCCAGACCAAAGAGCGTCTTTGTCACAGTGATCTAGTGCTTATATATGGTGCATTGACGATTCACAAACCAGTTCGGTTTCAATCAACAGTCCAATTCTGTGTGTGTTTCAGGCAATATTTACTGCGCTTAAACATTTCATAGTTTAAAATTTATTGGTCTATTTTATGCCTTACCTTGAAGTCACTTTTCTTTTTTGCAAGTCAGCACACACAGGAATGGGCAAGTTGTCTCTGGACATTTTTGTGATAATTTTGCAGACATAACAAAATAAATCCAGATTGTTTGTATATAATTTTGATTAAAAGACAGTTAACCCTATGACCATTTCCTCCTGAATAGAACTTGATTCTTTTTAGGCATACTAGCTGACAGTTTCTTATTTGATGTCAATTAATAAACGCTTTATTGTTCTTTTGGCGACTGAATGGTTGGAGAGAGGCGTTTCAAACTGTTGCTTCTCTGGTTGTCTTTGCTCTTTCTGCCACTCTTAAAGAAATGAACAAAAAACAATGGACTACAATAGAAACTTCAGTGTAGTGTTATAGTTTTAAGGATTGGAGTTTGAGACTTCAATTAATACCCCTGCATATAAAGCAAAGCAAAAGGCAGCCTAGTCACGTTTAAATGAGGTGAAACACAGAGGCCTAAAATATAAATTAAAGTCCTCAGTAAGCTGAACTGGGTGTCTACTTACTTCATGCCCACAGACGCTCAGTCACTTAGTGCACGCCTTGAGGGAAACTGGTGTGGCTCCAAAAATCCAAATTTTCCCCTTAAAATACACATGGGTAAAATTTTAGCTGCAATTGAGGCATATAGTTCTTTGACAAATATCACAGATCTTATCATTTTATATAAAACCCTGACTTTCACACTAAGAGTTGTCATTTTTAGAATATAATTTGAGTAGATTCCTTTCTTGACATTTATTATTTATAATGAGCTATTTAATGTTTTGAGGAGAATATTAATGAATAATTTAATTACTTTTCTTTCTTTTAAAGGACCACTGTGATTTCAAGAACAAATAGAATAACTTATTTTTTAAATTATTTTGATGTTCTGACCTTTATAATCCCTTTTTATTTGTGTGCCCACAGGCTGTGAGAGTGACTTCTGGGGACCTCACTGCAGTAATCGTTGCCAGTGCCGAAATGGGGCTAAGTGTAACCCTATAACAGGGGCTTGTGTGTGCACGGATGGGTACCAGGGGTGGCGTTGCGAGGACCTGTGTGAGAACGGTTACTATGGCAAGGGTTGTCTGCTGCCCTGCCAGTGTCTCAATGGTGCCACGTGTGACCATGAGACAGGAGAGTGCATCTGTGCGTCAGGATACACAGGAGCTTTGTGAGTACCAGAAACACACTTGCTACTTTGCTGCTTTCTGAGTGAAAATATTGGCGTACATTACGGGACTTGATGCCTGACATGTGTGGTGGCAGCTGCGGGGAGCGGTGCCCCTCCGGCAGCCACGGACCGCAGTGTGAGCAGCGCTGCCCCTGTCAAAATGGAGGAACATGTCACCACATTACCGGAGACTGTTCCTGCCCTGCTGGTTGGACGGTAGGTCACAAAAAGAGCAAAAATGTAGTAAAAGAGAAATCCCTCAGAGAAGAAAATGATTGAATGTCATTGGGCTTATGTTTAAGACTGCCTTTGTGTTTCTTCATAAAAGAAAAAAAGGAAACTTTTTGTTTGCATTTTTTTTAAATTATGTTGGATGATAATCTTTTACACAACTCTTCATAAATATGTTTCTTCTTTTATTGTAGGAAATTACATTTTTCCAGTGTGGAAAAAAAATCCCATGATAAAAAAATAATTGCTTTTACAACATCATTGTGCTACAATTACTACACCCTTAGTAAGCCTAAAATAAATGTTGAAAATGTTGTAATTTGTGTTTTCATTACTGTTTTTATGACCAGGTACTACCTCTTTGCCAGATCATGCTATATTTAAATTTGATATGTACCATGGGTACCAAACAGATTGTATTTGTAGTGGTTGCCTACATATCTGCAGACTTTGACCGTTTAGGCTCAGGCATTAACATTTGTGTTCAGAGTTTCTCCTGTGGTATTTACATAGTCTTGTCCTTTGAAGGGTTCGGTGTGCGCTCAGCCCTGCCCTCTGGGCAAATACGGCATCAACTGCAGCAAAGACTGTTCGTGTCGCAACGGCGGTCTGTGCGACCGTGTCACTGGAATGTGCCAGTGTACAGCTGGATTCAGTGGACGCAGGTAGACAACTGATGCCCAAACACATCATTCATTTGTCGTTCTGGGAATTACTCAGCGCAAACTTTCTCACTTATGCTTTAAACCGTACGTGGGTCAGACAATGACATGGTTTATTAATATTTTGATCTGACGCAAAACTATGAGTTTGAGACACTCACTGACCTATTCCCATTGTTAATTTCCAAATGAGGCATAAATCTGGCTTCTGTTTTAAAAGATAACAGTAACGCTATAAAATCTCTCTCTCAGGAGAAATGAGCATTTATTAACATCCATTACTCCATCTGAAGGTGCACTGGAAGCTTTTAATAGGGGTGTTTATGCCTAATTAATCTTGTACTGCATCCTGGCCAGAAAGGTTTCATGTCTGGAGGCCTCATCCACATTCACTCCTCCCAGCCTGTCCATTGATCTCACCATGGGCTATATGCTGTTTGGGTTCTGCTCATTAATTATAAGTAATGGACTTAGATTAAGGCCTCATCAACATACACGGATCTTTTTAGTTTCCCATGCCTGCTGGAGAGGCCCAGGGCAGCCGCGTTTATTAGTTTGAGTAAAGCAATTGTCTCTTTGATGGAAACACCTCCTTTACAAGACCTTTCTTTTACTTTATTATTTCACAAAATTGCCCTCATTAATTTTGTCAGTGGCAGGTGAATGAACCTGCCAGGAATAATCTGAGATCACGTTAACCCCCCCAGCCTCTTCTGTCGAGTATAATATTTCAGTTGTCCCCTGATATTACTAAAACTGAGGAGACTCAAACATGAAGCATGGTTCGAACGTTTTCTTATGTAGTTGAACTATTTGCAACAGCTTTGTTCAACTCCTGAGACCGATAACCCACTAATGCAGTATAAAGAAGTGAAAAGAGGACAAAAATCAATTTTCTGATCTGGTTCAGTTCTTCATGTTGGAAAAACTCTCAAGTAATTTTAATTTTCCTGCATGACGACGACTGCCAAGTCTCATCGAGCCCCTGCAGAGACACAGAGGTGTTCGCAGCAGGCTCTACTTTTAGGGATTTTGTGAGAAGTACTTGAAGAAAATTGACCATGCTAGTCTAGGTCTTTTAAAGCACATAGCCATATTTTGAATGTTGAAGTGTTAATAATATATGTGGTTATTAAAAAAAGAATTTTACTTAAAAAAGAAATAGCCACTGAAGTGTTTAATTTTTTTTTTTTTTTTTGCTTGGCACTGGGTTAAATTATTTATTTTGTAGGTTACTATTGATCATTTTTTATCCTCTCCCTGTGCAGCATTTTAGTGTCATTTCTGTGCAACTTTCATTCAGATGTCAAGAAGACTGTCCGGTGGGCACCTATGGTCCACAGTGCAACCAAAGGTGTGAGTGTCAGAACGGTGCGAAGTGTCACCACATCAACGGCGCTTGTCTGTGTGAAACAGGCTTTAAAGGCCCTAATTGTCAAGAGAGATTCTGTCCTTCGGGCCTTTACGGCCTCATCTGTGACAAGTACTGCCCTTGTAATACCACCAATACTGTCAGGTAAGTGATAATCTCGGTGCATAGCAACACTTGGCACTGGCTGATAACCGGTGCCAACGTATACCAAGGTTATACACAGGGGTCCTGTCTGGGGCCACTCAGAAATACAATCAGAAAGAACAATACATTAAAAAAATATTGGTGGCACCTCTGTTCATGGTCTACAGATTGAGTACAACCACTTCTTTGCTTGAATCACATAACATTATAAATGGAAAGTAACTTCTTTAGTTCACACCATTGCCTTATGCTCATTTCACCCTGCATGTTAAGCCTCATGCTTAGGAAGTTATTTTAGATTCAGATCTTCATTAAAAGAAAGAGATCAGTACAGACTTTAAAACATTCCTCACTAACTAAAAATCATCACAAACTAAAATTCTTCAGGCTTTCATTACCTCACAGTTAGATTACATCAATTCTTTATACCTGGCACTTCCTCTGTCTCAGTTATCACGCCTGCAGCTTGTTCACAGTGCTGCTCCAAGACTTGCCTACTGGTACAGAAAAGCAGGACCACATCACCTTAGCCTCTGCGTTCATTTTAGGACGCTTCTCATTGTATTTAACATATTAAATAAGCAAGTCCCATTTTTACTGAACCTGTTAATTTCCATCTACACCCCAGAGTTCCCAGAGCAACAAACTGCTCCATGTCCGTGGAACTGTATCCTACCCAATATGTGCTCATTACGTCTTGGCATTTCCATTTTTTTTTTTTTTTATCTTGCTTCATTTTCTTGATGCAAATTTGGCTATTTTTACTGAAGGCTTTTAATGAAGGCAACACATATTGTCTTTCGAATAATTCCAAGTGAGTAAGGATCTCGGTGACTTAACTTCGCCTCGACTTACCTTAAAGCCAGTGGTCATTCCGAAGTCTGTAGACATCACAGCCATGTCATCCAGTTAGCTTTTAATCGCGACCTTTGCTTCATTCATAATTCCTCAGCAACATTCATAGTTAATGTAGTGTTAATGCTCTGATTCCAGAAGGAGCTGGGCATCAGCCATAGAAGTCATTACTGAATGAAGGAGAAAAGGGACACTTCATTTATCTGAAACAAGCACATAGTCTTCTGTTGCTGCAGGCATCATACTTTGATCCTGCTTACATATGAAGAGCTGATCGCTTTGGTGCTTACTTTTCTTACCTTTATCTCCTATTCCTCTCGTTTGGATTTATTTGTAGCTGCCACCCACTATCTGGTGAGTGCACATGCTCACCAGGGTGGGCAGGGCTTTACTGCAATGAGACCTGCCCTCCTGGATTCTACGGAGAAGGATGCTTTCTGCCTTGCAGCTGCACCAATGGAGCTGACTGTCATCCTGTCACAGGGATCTGTACCTGCGCTCCTGGCTTCATGGTGAGCTTTGTGTTGCCGAAGCATTGCTTATTATTAACAGATGACTGTTTACTTTCTACTGATTTGACATTTCCTCTTACTTTCACTTTGACCCTCAGCTGGTTTCTTCAAAAAAGTCTTCATTTTGAGTCAACAAGGCAATATGAGTCAAACAAGAAACTTAGGTCAAATTTTGAAAATATAAAATAGATGCTTAGCAATGTAAGAAAGGAAAAAAAAGGCTTATAATACATTTGGTTTTATTGATTTCATATTTACACTTAAAGTTATCAAAAGCTCTTCTGGTTCTCTGGAGCTCATTCAGATTATTTTGGTAGTTTGACTGTTTTCAGCTTAATTTTCACACAACAATCTATATATATAAACGCTTTTTATTTATGAGTGTCACAGTTAAAGAGATGGACATAATTCTGTTTAATACACCTTCTGTACTTAAACAACTGACTCAAAAACAGGTGCTAATTGGCCCTTTTGCCTGGACTCGATTGCTTTAATTTTGCATCTTCAGAAATTACTGAAATCTGAATTTCTGCACAGTCCAGAAATATTGCAAAACCGTTGCCAAAACTGGAAGTGATTTCACAGGTTTGTAAATTCCTTTCCAAATTTCTTCCTTGAGCTGAGTTTTAAAAAAAAGTACCCGAGGTAACACAATTTGACTCAGAAAACATATATAACAACCAAATTGATTATTCCTAACAAAGTATTTGCTTAAAACCTAAAATAATATAAACATAGTTGCTAATCAACTACAACATAACTTTTTTTTTTTCAGAATACTTTATCACAACCTCTTTAAAACATTTTAAAGAGGTTGATAGGCAGGAAACAGGATCTCCCATTGCATGCCCTAAAGTGTTATCCTTGTACTTTGTAAGTTTTAGTTCTGAAGGTTGTAAGTTTAATTTATGTTGCATGTTATTTGTGGCTACTGTGGAAAAAAAGTAATTGAGGCAGAAATATTTTGGAAGTGATCCCAGTTTTTTCTTTAGGAGCTTTTTATATACAGACTGTTAAAATCAAGGTGAAAGTATTTTTTGTGTTATTATAGATACGCTTTGTTGCACCGCTGGACATGGGTCCATATAATTCATTCTCAATTGCGACCCTGTGCGAGTAGTTGTGTAATTTTACAAATAGGACTGAATTTATGAAGGGTCAAAGAAACAAGAACAGAGCAAGCTTCGATCTATGTTTTTGTACCTTGAAAGGAAAAGTTAATGTTTGGTCAGTTCTGTTTTTAGTCCTTTTTTCCTGCAGCCATATTGTCCCCTTTTTACAACTGTCAAATTAGTTGAGTAACTCCAATCAGTTTTGCCATTGTATTTTGTGTTTTGCAATCTGAAGTTACGGAGCAACAGAGACCAGGAGAGTACACGTCTGCCAATGTTACATTTCAGTGGAAATTGCCTGTGTCTTACAGCGAGCCTCTGTGGTGAATTGAGCTACCGAGCGGGGCTCCAGACTGTGTCTTAATTTGCTCCACCTGTTCACTGTGGCGGCTGCTGGGAAGGGCTGCCAGATCCATTAAACAGACCTAGAGGGCAGAAGCTGGATAGAAAAGGAGGCAGTCAGATGGGAACAGACGCAGCTCATATGGAGAATTTGTGTGTTTATGTGCGGGGAGAGGGGAGGTGAATGTTCATTGTGTTTTTTTTGGGTACTTTTAACAAAGCTGCTGCTCTGCAAATAATTGAAACATATTGTTGTGCATTTAGAGGTCCGTAGCTGCTGCCCGTTTGCGTCATATTCATGGTACATGCTTATTATGAGGTGGACCTGTTAAAACGTGGCTGATGATGGTGTTGAGGCTATGATTGCCAGACAAGTCACTTCCTCTGGGGATCGCTTATAAGCCTAAGCCTCCCCACTGCATTTTTATTTTGTTCTGGAATCCCATCGGGGGGCAAACCAAGCAAAGTGTTGGAACAGACTGAGCACCGGCACGCTTGATTTAGTCCTGGTAATTGGACATGCTCTTTTTGGCTCAGACAAAGTGATTACATGTTACCTATTCAGGCACTGTCCCTTACAATCTGCAGCGCGGGCTGCAGTGTAACATGCAGTTTCTACGTGCGCTGTCCTCACTTGAAACAGGAACGCTTTAGGAATCTATTCAAGTTTTCCTTTTGTAAATGGAGAAACTAAATCCCATTCCCGACTCTCATCGTGGCTTCCTCTCTGTTGTGCTGCAATAAATTTACTCTGGATTCACACGTCCAGCAGGTAGATGCACCGCTAAGGAGTGAAACTGATTGGTAATTAGTGGTGCCATTTGCATCAGGTCTCGGTGGATAAAAGCCTAATCAATGTTGTGTCAGGTAAAGGCTTTCTGAAAAAGAAGTACTCCAATTACATTAAGATACTAATAGGTACAAATTTACTGCTGTGGCTGAGGGCAATCTAGGTGTGTTTCTGCTGCAGGAACCTTTTCCAGAGGCCAGGATAGTGCCAGGATAGTTTTCCGGTGACATTCTTTTACCCTTTTTATTTCCACTGCAGGAACCATGGCCAAATCGGATTATCAGCGTAGAAATCAACCTCAAAACATGGCTCTGGTAGGGAGGTAGTCCTTTTTGAACCAAAGCTGGAGTTTTGTCACGCTGTGGACTAAGCATGTGCGGGGAGAGTTTCAGTATTCCCATAATTTTATTTCAGTCATCTCTACAGTTCACATTTTCTGTCAACTTTAAATTATAAAATAAGAGTAAACAGTATTTTTTGTTTGCATAAACCAAATTGAAACCCAGCGATTCAAATGAAATGTGATAGTGTATTTACAGAGTACATTTCAAATACATTTACAAAATCAACAAACATTAGTGGAAATATTGATTTAACTAACTAAATAAATAAAGTCTAGGCTTCTGTTTTCAGCCTCCATGGAGGCGTAAAGAGTAAACACTCTAGTCAGAGCAATTTTTAGGGACTTAAACCGATAATGCAAGAAAGCTTTGCCGCATTTATTTTCTGAAGTACATATTAAAACAGTCACTATTCTGCAGAATTGTTTATCGTCAACCGATTTTAAGTTTAAGAAGCGGTGGGCTGTAAGTGTTCTGTTATCTTTCCCCTGTGTTTAGTTTCAATAGCTTTACTCATTAAAATGTGTTGATGTCATAAAATGCCTTTAAGTTCGATGTGATTTTAATTCTGTTTTAGATTGCACCTGCTGTGAAATAACTATACTATGGCTAAAACTAAGCTGTAAGCCTCAGCGGAGCTTTTTATTCTCCTCTCATTTCACATAAAGACAAATTTCTGCATTACAAAAAAAAAAAAAAAAAATTTTAATAGCTACAAGCTTCACTGTAAAGATGATGTCATGTTGTTTCCTAATCAAATCTTATCAAGTCGTGTCACATCTTTGATGTGCATGTGTCGCTTTTGATGCATTCCCAGATTAAATAGTGAGTATAGTGAGACAGACATGTTATATGTGCTGTAATTTTTGCCTTGCTGTGGATATGTTCAAACTTAAACACCAGCTGACCGTCTAGAACAAAATTTTCCTCCTCATTTGGTACACTCGAGGTGTCAGACAAAGTCACAATGTTGGTCATGCCGTCAGTATAACTTTTACTTTGAAGCACCCAAAATCCCAAGGGGAGGTCAGTGCATTTGCATGGTTCAGTGTTAGAATAATTTCTGCAAAAGAAATGTTTAAAAAGTCATTGGCAGCCTTGTTAGGCTTTAGATCAAATTATGTGTGCTAGTGTTAAAAGCTGCACATCTTTCTACAACATTAAAAATCCAGGTTGACCACTAATATTGTGACAATTATACAAGGTGTGGAGTTACTACATAAATTATAAAGTGTCATCGCTTGGGTCTTTGAACATTGGTTATAGAGTTATCACTGATAATCATTGCTTTTTCTGGCAGCCTGACCTTTTTCTCTTTCTCCTGCACAGAGTCAGGAGTCAAAATCTGTACAATGAGAGTCTACACAATCTCTCTTTGTGTAAAGTTTGGGGTGACAGCACTTGACTTGAAAACCATAGCAGAGATTAATGCCTCCGTTATTAATGCTGCTCTGGAATATTTTATTTTTTTTCCCATCACGTTCTGAACTCTTCAGTTGCAGTGGGCAACCTGTGTCCCCAGATCATTTGATCTATAGTAGCAACACTACTGCAGTACAACATAATTAGCATAAACAGCACAATTTTGAACTCCGCATTGTAAACAGACTCAATTTTAGTTTCTAAAGGAAAAAGGTCTTTTCTGGTCACATAGTTGACTTTCACCTATTAGTTTTTTTCTAAAGGCACTGGATACTAACTCTAAGCTGTGCTATATAAGGTTTTCCTGCTCTCATGCCAAAGACTGACAGCCTGTGTGTGTTAATTCAAATTCAGACCCCTATCCCTCCCCTCTTTGAACAAATGTGAATCAGAAGACTAATGAGAGTAGTGTCTTTCCACTCTGGAGAACAGGCCAAGTGGTCTGGTGACTGCACCATGAGGGGGAAACCACATGGAATCCATGTGGCCATTTGTGTCTGGGTATCATTTTATCCATGAGTCCAGTCACCAGTAAATTGCCTTTGCTCTGAGGAAGGGCTGAAGCCTAAAACCTCCGCCCCATCCCCCCCCTCTCACCCCTTATCTAACTCCCCCCCCCACCCCCCCCGCCAGCCACTCAAACTTCTTCACGCTTAACAACTGCAACGGAACTGCTATTGTTAGCAGTCTCGAAGCTGTCACTTTCAGCAGAACAAAGGTTATTGCAACCGATTGATAAAAATTTCATTCACAGACAGACGCTTTTATGTGGTGTACGGCGGGAGCGACTTTATAAGATGTGTGTTCTGCCCCTGGCATCCACTGGCACATCTCCTCCTGCCTCCTGTTTAAGCTGAGTTCAAAATGATAATGAGAGCGGTGAGCAGCCAGCAGTCCCCCAGCACTCTGGTGAGCAAAGCAAGATCCATTCAGGACTCCTCTGGGCCTCTAATTGGAACTCTAAATCATTGTGTCACCTGTCACTCAATGCATGGTTTTGAAAGGGAGACTGTGGGAGCCCGTACAGTGGCTGTGATCTCCAGCTGAGGGAGGGACGAGGCTAGTTGAGGTGGGCTGCTCTCAGCCTGTAAAGCAGAAAAAAAAAACTCTAATGGAGTTTGCAGAGGACATAGAATGAGTACTTTATGTCCTTTACCAAATCATTTCTCTAATGCAAGAACAAGAAACTTAAGGATATTAATGCTGATCTTTTATTGGTGTTCTCATTAATAGAAGAGTGAGTCCTGCCAGCAGTGTGTCACAGATAAGTATAAGATTATGTTCTCCCCCTAGTGGAATCTAGGTGTTTGGCTTTGAGTCCATTGTTTCCTATTTTCAGTGCGAGCCAAAATCTCTTGCATTGACATTCTCACCACTCCTAACCCCCACGGTGTCCCTAATGGTAGACAGTTTTGCTTTCTCCTTTCCACTTCAAGTCATCACTGCAAGTTTTACGGTGTGCACTTTGGACACGGGGGATACTAGGCAAATAATTAGTCTACACGAATTACAAATTAGTCTAATTTTTGCTTTGTGCTTATTTAGCCACTCTTTTTCCAAGTCAAGCATTTCAAGTTTCTTACCTCAAAATAAAATTCCCCATATAGAGACTCAGGTACGGAATGTGTTGTTTGGAGCATGTCAAAAAAAACAAAAGATTGGTATCCAAAAAGTTACTGTTGCATGTGCAAATTATGTCCATTCTATAACTTTCATGATTTAGTAAAAAAAATAAATAAAAAAAATTAGAAGACAAAAGGATCTTCCAACCAGACCTTCTCATCCAACATCAGCGTCTAACCATACACATGCACTTCTTGAAGAATGGTCAAAACTTCCCTTAAGCACACTTGTCAAACTAGTGCAATCCCTTCCAGAAGAGTTTAAGCTGTTATAGCTGCATGGGATGCCACCTTCTGTTTATATCTTACTGCATTTCAATAACCAGAAAACGTTTTAAGTACTTATATTTGCTTTATTGCAACATACAAAAGCTGTTTACATCCTGGTGATCTCTTGATTTGGTTTGGGTCAATCACAGCGTGTGGCGTATTAAACATTTCTTTGCAGAGTGGATGTCAGGAGGTACGCTATATCCTCCACTGGTCATGGCACAAGACAAAGATGGCAACTTATGTAACAGGAAGTGTACTGAGAACAGAACTAGTTGTACTAATGAAGTGAAGAGGGGAAGATTGAAGATTTAATCATTGCTTGCCTGCTGAGGGATGGATGAGAAGTGTGGATTCCCAGGCCTTTGGAGTCTTGCCAGGCTCACAGTTGAAAAGCGATGAGACTTGTATAAAGAGAGATGCGGGGAAAAATTGAGAGATGGGGTGAAGTAGGAAAGCAAAAAGCATGACTGGGGGAAGGTGCTGTCAGAATATATTGAGTGGGTAATTGGAAGCTTAAAAATGATTGCGTGCAAGTGATCAAGTGTGGTCTTTCCCTTTTACCTTTACTTTAAATTTACAGTTGGCTTGCTCATTTTCTTTGCACATAATACAGTATGATGAGCCTGGGTAAACAGTTAACCCAGGTAACCCTCTTTGTCCTGCTGTCTCTAACTGTTGCCTGAATTACCTGAATTAGCATTATTTCCTCCACAGGGTGAGGACTGTGCTACAGTGTGTCCACCTGGTGTATTTGGGCCAAGCTGCATGTCCACCTGCTCCTGTCACAACCAAGCATCTTGCTCTCCGGTCGACGGCTCCTGCATCTGCAGAGAAGGTAGGGAACAATAACCTTTTGATTGATGGCGTCAACAAGCTCTGTTTTGATTTAAAAGACGCTTCACTGACTTTAAAACTTCATCTCAGATTTACTAGTCAAATTAATAAACATTCACACACACACAAAGCATTTTATGTGCAAAGACTGAATCCTAGTGCAATTAGTTGTTTTCTTGAGAGAAAATCTCAAACATTTGCCATTCCCACACTCATATTTTAATAAATCAGATTTATCTCCTGGTTTTGAATGATGCAATACTTAAGCCTGTGTTGTCTAATGCTAATTTCCAGCTCCCCCAACTGAATTCTATGTGTTTTTCCCCTACTCCCGCACACATTATTCAGTAAAATGGGTCAGCACATCAGCTCTTCATCAAGCTGTAGCCCATTCATGTCAGCCAGGTGTGTTTAAGTGTGGAAATGTAATACATGAAGAACTGGAGGGGAAAGTACTGCTGTAAGTTACATTTTCCTAGAGACAAAATCTTAAATTATAAAAAAAGGCCTGACTAATTTAGCTGAAGGGTCTTGAAGACATACAATATTTTAGAATTGTCAACAGCCTAATTATATAATATCTAGGATTTTCAGGTTGGGATTCTATTAACGACATCACTTCATAATAATGCATATACAGTGGCAACGGAAAGGGATCACACCACGTTTTCACTTTTATTTTCATCACAAATAAATCTAACATAGCACATTATACATTCTGCTTCACAGATAGATTACAAAGTAACTACTTAATAAGTGAGTGGAGATAGACGATAAATGGCTGATAAATGTCAGCAAAGGTGTTCTCAGTGTCATAATTGATAATTGAATACTTAATCAATCTGTGGACCATACTTAAGACTAATGAGGATTTAATAATTAAGTGAAGAAAACCATACCAGGACAGATACTCCACTGACATATTTTCATTTATTTCTTTTATCTTACTGGTCAAAAGACCATCCTCTTTGTCAGCACAACTTATAAAAGGGCGCATTTCATCATCTTTTGGTGCCAGAAGACTTTCAAATCTTGACAGTACTTTGATAAAGCACATTGATAAATTTATAACACACTTTTTTGACACAACAATGGACTTCATAGATATTCCTTTCTAAATCAGAATCTCCACTAGCGTATTGTATTGTGGATTGATGATGTATCAAATGGAACAGTAGAGCATGGCAACAATCAAGCTGTTTTGTCAACAAGAATATGCCAAATCAATGAGTCACACTGACAGCTAGCATGAAGGGCCATGTCAGAAACAAGGTCTTGTTTCTATAAATCATCCTGCTGTCCATCTTTATAATAGTCTTTAGTTTATATTATATTTTGGTAAATTTATTAGCCAATGTTTTATCTGCTATATTCATGAAATTTTAGTTGCATTTAAATGGTATTTTACAAATGTTGCTATGCCCAATGCTTTCATCCATTTTAGACAATGTCATGTATTTATTTAGCCTTTATCTAATGTCTAATGTTATCTATTTTTGAAGGCAGACCTGAAATTTATGTTAAAACTTAATCATTTACGATATTGGAGTGTGACTGCACTGCACAGTCATAGCACACAACAGGGAGAGCTCATTTCTGCAATCAGTTACTTTTACTGTCGTCATTTTTAAATATTGTTCATTTATGTTAATTGAAAACAAAAGCAAAACAAAAACGCACATTAAAAAAAGCACAGCATTAAAACAGACCACACATAAGAAATGGTGCTGAATACTTTCCTTGTGATCTAGATAATTTCTTCCACTTCCAGCAGCACACATTGGAGCCAAGCACCAAAACATCAGACCGATACTCAGGGAAGAACTGCTTTAACAGATGTCATATTTTGTTAGAGAAAGCACTTGCTGGAGGATACTTATTTTTAAAGTTAAAAATAACTACAGTAGAATGTGGCTGGAAACGTTGTTAAATCATCAATATTAATGGCACAATGAGTCTTGTAACGACTGTTCCCAGTGAATACTAACACAGGATGGAAAACAGCAAAGCAAAAATGAGATTATAAAGTGCAAAAAAGTCTGCCAGACACAAAAACGAATTTACAACAGCTGACACGGTATTGTAATGCAGATACAAGCAGATCACTGACACGTTAGAACAGCAGTCTGTTAACACACTCTGTTTTGTTACAGAAAGTGTGATGATTTTTTTTTTATTGCAAAGTACTCCTTCTTAGGTTGAAAAACAATATAAAAAGGAACTTTGCTAAATAACCATTATTATTATAAACCATACATCATATAATGAGTGTTTCAAATGAACTGAAACATCGGTTAAAAAACAGCAGTGCAGGTCAGAATAAGAGGTTTCACCCTGGTGAGAAAATTACTTGGAATCAAATTACTCACCCTTCAACAAAGGCAGCAATAATAAAGTTAATCATCTATTTGTCATTTTACCTGCCATACTTTGGCTTTCATAACACCCAAGCAATTTAGATGGCAATGAGCTGAAATGTCTCTTATCCAGAAGGACTTTATGCAAAGAGTTCAGTTTGCTTACCACCAGAGCTTGTTTCTTTACAAACTATTTAGTCTTCGATTAATTCAGCATCTCTGACTAAAAACTCAGTAGCTCTTGCTGTTCCGTTTATATTTGTAACAATGTCATCAGACTTCCAAGCGCACCTGGTACCAAATCTCCCTTCTCTGGAATTTTAATCATGGAAACTGAGCATTTAAGAGACACTGAGTCCCCAGTTAATTAGATGCTAGGACTCGGTTGCTATGGAAAACTATATCCCGTGGTCATAACATTGTCATCATACTCGTTATGTGTGGTATTTACATACTTATCAACTTCATCATGTATTCATCAACGTTGAACTGAATATTATTATCACGAGCTACAAACACAACACTATTGAAAAGGAAAATGTGAGAAAATGACACATTTTCTCACATTTTCTCACAAAAGACAGTTTTTTGTCAAAACTGTCAAAAAGACAGTTTTGACAAAATGTCAAACTGTCTTTTGACATTTTGTCAAAAGACAGTTTCATAAAGATTTTTGCTCATCACCTTATCATATATTCACTATTTTTTACTACCATCATTTGTACTCCATACAATAATGTTAACTTACCTTCAATTTTGTTTGATAGCTTTTAAGTTCTAAATGTTAAAATTAATATTGTGACATTCTACATATTTTATGCCAGCACTTTGTTTTAGACGGGTAAATTTAAAATAAATGGAAATGAATAGATGTGTGCAGTCTTGCAACTGTATTGCGTAAAAGTGCAAGCATCAATAATGTAGATATGATTTTAAAAACCCGGCAAATACTGTGGCATACCTGTTGTTCAGTGACATTTTAGGAATGCAGCACGGAAGCCATATGCAACTTTAAATGTTACAGTATCATTTCTTAAACAGTCTGATTGAAAGATGAAATATGTAAATGAAATGTCTCCCTCTCAATGTTGCGTGGCCCGACCCTGTTTAGTTGTAAGACTGGATTAAGATTAGTAAGATCCTCTTGCATTGTTGTGAGGTTTTGTTGGTACCGTGATGATCTTCTGTAAATTATAACCACTTTATTCTGACTTTTAACCTTTATTCTTGAATAAACAATTTTCAGAAAGATGATGGTCATAGAACAAAAATAAATTGTTTGATGAGAATGGAAATAATGATATGAAGTCACTAAATCTAAGCCCAGTTTAACATTTTTGTGAGACAGTTGATCACTGTCATCAATCACTTAATGAACTAATACTTTAGTAAGACTGATATTCGTCTCTCCTGTAGTCTCAGAGATTTTAAAAATGAGTGCCTGAGCACATTGGAACAGTTCTGGCAGGCCATAGTGACCCAACGTAGGTTGGTATCTGCCTCTGATAAACATAACTAGCCCACTGTGATGAGAGTTTCTGCATCACATGTCACCATAATTTTGATATATCTTCAGATTTCAAATCCATTCACACATCTATCTATTTTCTTTACCCACTTAATTCTTGCAAGGGGGCTGGTGCCTCTCCACATCAGTCAACAAGTGAGATCTGGGGTAAACCTTGGACAGTTCACCAATATATCAAGTGCAAATACTAACAAACAACACACACTCAAATGTGCCATCAAAGAACAAAAACCTGAAATATGCATACTGTTGATGGTGGAAACAAGAAGCTAGTAGGGAATATTTTTTCTTGAGTTCTGTTATCTGTAACTTCACCCTCTTTAAGCTGCAAAATACCAATGAAATAAAAAGAAAATCTTAGAGATTTAAAAAATGTATTTATTAAAATTCAAACGTTTACATAATGGCTACTGTGTCTTTAATTAATTTGCTTAAGGCTTTTGGCCTCAGTTGTCATAGAATCTATGCTAAAAAAATGGCCAAAAGCCAAACATGGTACCATCAAAAAAAAATCTATCTATCTATCTATCTATCTATCTATCTATCTATCTATCTATCTATCTATCTATCTATCTATCTATCTATCTATCTATCTATCTATCTATCTATATATCTATATATATATATATATATATATATATATATATATGATTATAAAGCCATGCACATGCACACTAGAAAGCATTTACCACTTTATAAATCACTGCTATACTTCAACATTTCCATAGAAGGCGCTACCTCATGTTCTGTTCACATTCAACCATAAATGGTCAATGCAAAGTGCATCATGAATATTAAGGTGTATGTAAATGCGCCCACTGAGCCATGTTTTTTTATGGTCACCAATGGCAACCACTGAGAAAAGAGTAAAGAAGAGCAATTTCACCCAGGCAGAAATCAATGCGTTGATGCATAAGGTGCGGTTTTGGTTGCCATGACGTGACAAATAAAAGGAACACACTGCCACCAGCATTTTCAGAGGCCGATGGCATGCTCAATAGTTGCATGCCCGCGGGAGTGAGCGGTATTAATGCTCACTTCCTCTGCATTCTGGAGGTCTGGAAAGGGGGTTGGGATCCAACGCCTGAGGGGCTAGCACCGTCCCCTACAGCCTATAGTGGAAGAGAGCATCAGTACGCCAAGCCAGAATCTTTTTACTTTCCTTCCTAATTGTCCCATTTGCAAAGTCTTCCAGCAGTGCCAACGCATCCATCGCACAGATTTACACAAGTTTCACCACTGTCTTTATATATTTACAACAATCAGTCCAATCCCTTCACACCTTTCACACCTTTTCTGTATTAATCTGTCATAGTTATCACCCTGATGATCATCCGGGGGAGGAATACGATGGAGAAAAAACATTGATGAAATGTTGTGTGGACTTTGATTTACGATTTAAGTTGGCTTACAGGTCTTTTTTTAATTTGAAAGGTCTATTATTTTGTTTTAGCTATGCCTCAGCAGCAGAAACATAAATAACACTGCTGTTTTGAATGCTTATGATAAAGTTGATCTATGATTAATATTTGATATGGAGTGAAATTAAATGTCTGCAAGGAATCATGATGCAGTGTGGCTTCCATTCCCCACCTCACCATCTGCATCGCCAGTTTCCCCATCTCTCAAATGAGTGTATGTGTGGATTAGAGTTTGTGTGAGGGACTGCACATTCTCCTGTCAAGTTATTATTATTATTTTTTTTTACAGATCTTAAACTTTGCATGTTAAGTGATATGTGGCAGATTCAGGTCCCGTTTTGTGCATGCACAATATTTAAAATTGAGACCCTTGATTATTGTTGTTGTGGCAAGCTTCTGATAATTCCCAACATTTAAGATAAATAGACACATGTATTTTAAAGCCAAACCTGAAATACACTGCTGTATTAAATGGCATCATGAAAAGGTGCCACTTTCATCTGTTCACACAGTTGTATGCAAATGTAAACAACATACTGTTCATACTATTCAAATGAGTCCTGTGTCCCAGACATGACCATGTTTTGGTGCAAAATGTTAGTATAAACCCCAGATCAAAAGTAGACTCCCTTTTAAAGGTGCTTCTTAAAATTGGTAAGAAAGTGTTTCTATTCACTGTAAAGCAAGTTGTTCACTAACAGGGCCTCTCAATAAGGAAGATGCACATACCCCAAAAGTAATATAAAAATGTAAATTGCATTTTGTAAATGCACCAAGGAACAGACATTTTTGGAAACATGTTCTGTGGTCTGATGAAACTAAAACTTGAGTTTTTGGCCATAGTGACCACTGACCAGTGCAGTTGGAGTAAAAAAGGAGGAGGCTCATGAGCCTGCGAACATGATGACAAGTGTGTTATTTAGGGATGGCAACATTATGTCGTTTGGATGTTTTGCTACAGGACAAATGATACAACTGCCATATTTAGCAACATATTAAGACAGTCTTTCAAACGGACTATGGCAATAAACATGCAGCCAAATAGAGGCATAGAGGCAACAAAGTCATTTTTTCCAATGTTCCAATGTCAAAGTCCTGATTTCAGTGCCACAGAAAATTTGTAGGCAGAGTTAAAATATGTGTGAACAATACGGCCAACAAGACTGTTAGGAGGACTGGGCCACAACTCAAGCTATTCTCAAAGCTGTCAGAAGATTAATGACTAACATCCAAAAAGTTCAACCATCAAAAAATCTTTTAAAAAATTAGCTCAGGGTTCTGCCATTTAGTCGTTATTATTATTATTTATTTTTTTCTACATTTTTATTCTTATGTTTGAGATAAGATACAATAATAAGTGTTTGGTTTCTTATTCAAAATCTCTCCACGTTTTTTAAATTAAGTCTTTAATAAACATATTCAACTTTTTCTTTTTTTCTTCTTGGATGTCTCTTCTGTTCAAGGCTGGCAGGGTGTGGACTGCTCCATTCCTTGCTCCAGCGGTACGTGGGGTCTGGGCTGTAACCAGACATGCTTATGCAGCAACGGCGCTGCATGTGACCCCGTGGACGGCACCTGTGCTTGTTCTCCTGGCTGGAGAGGGGAGCACTGTCACGAGTCCTGCCCTGTAAGTGCAATTTCTATGAGAAGGCGATACAAATCTTTCTGACTTCTCGTCAACATGTACCAGCTGCAAAGTGTTCTGCTTGAGATCTGTAACTCTGAAGCTACTGTCGTTGTCAGGACGGCACCTATGGGCTGGACTGCCGTGAGCGGTGCGATTGTAGTCACGCTGATGGCTGCGACCCTGTGAGTGGCTTCTGTCGCTGCTACCCAGGATGGACCGGTCAGTGCTGCTTCCTCACAAGTCAAAAGAAGCTCAAAGTTTATCTGTTATTTAACCTCATTAGCACAATATCAAATACATCAGATGCTCCTCAAAGACACAGATCTACACCAACAACAAAAATACAGGAGCATTATAGAGACCCTGTATATACCCTGTGTATATACAGGGTCTCTAAGCAGAGCTTTATTAATGAATTGGTTAGTATGCTTTGTTATTTAGCCAGTGCCGTAGAAGGATCAGGGATGTTAAGACTTGAGCTCTAAGTTAATTACTTTTGGCTCCAAGAATTGGTGCTGGCATGCAGACAAGCTTTTATTACAACTAATATTATGTTTTTACAGCCCAGTAGAACAAACTTAGCCAACTTAAGCAAATATTTAGGCCACTACTCCTTCAAATCTTCTGGCATTGACGGTGAAATTTGTTTAGGATCCAGATCTAGATCAGCCAGGAAACAAGGATGTGAAACAAAGCAGCATTTGTGTACACCTAGCACTCCCTGAAAACCTATTGCAATTGCTCTGTCTTTTATTTTTTGTTGTTTGGTTTTGGGTTTTTTTTGTGTTTTTTTTTTTTATAAAACTCACACTGCAGGATAACTTGAAATAAAAAGAAAAAACTTGTATTTTTCAGTGAAAGCTAAACTCAACCTTTGGATTACTACTAGAGTTGAGGTCTGTGTGTTTTGACTTGTAACTTCTAAACTGTAACTTGTACTGGGAAAACATTACAGCAGATAAGCAAGGCTCTCCACATTTACTTTTAATAAAAAGCACTTTTTCTACATCATAACAAAAGCAACATTTTATGATAAAGTCTCACCATAGTGTTTAATTCTTAGTGACATAGAAATAATTATATTATCTTGAGATGAAGCAAAAGAGGAAATGTGAAAGATTGAGTTATTTGTGAAGAAAGTTTCACTGCAAGCAGAAAAATTTTTGAACAAGTTTCTGTATTTCTATTTTCTGTGTCATACAATTATGTCCCAAACAGGGGCTCATCCTATCACCTTAACACTGTACAGATTTTTATAAGGTAAAGCAAATGACATTTACTTTAATTAGTATAATTCCTTTGTCATTTTCTAACTTTTAAGCTTTAAAATAATTTTCTAAACAAAGCCATTTAGGATTACATGCCTTTACATACATTGTGCTGAGTTGCCGAAGATAAATGCAGCATGTAAACTGCCTAAGTTGCGTGAATGATTCTTTTTTTTGTGTCAACAGCCCCTAAATAAAAATCGACAACACAATTGCTTTGTTTCAACTTAGTCATCTTTTAATTTGATCATGGAATAGTAAAGGATTTCCGTTACAAACACATACTATTATTGATGTACGCAGTCTGTGGCTCTCATCATTAAAATAATTTGCACTCTTGGAAAGAGCTGTTAAAGGAGATTGTGAATGACAGAGCAAGGGTGAAGAACATTCTGCTCCGAAATTATATGTTGTTTCTGAATGTCAAATACTAATGAAGGTCCCAGTTCTCGAGTCCAGGTAGACAGAGGAAATCAGAGAAGGGGAAAAATTCAGGAGAAAAGGTCAAGCCTGTGAGCCCCCTGCAGCCCTCTCCATTCAGCCTCCTGAGCTTCGGGCATTTATTCCAGGAAACAATGTGGGTTTATTAGCTGCGAGAATGAAGACGACAAAATGGGCCTCTCATGCTCTGAATCCTGCACAGGTCGGGACCATCTGTCAGCCTTAATTGAGTCACCAGGGTGCAGGGCTGTGGGCAGTGTGCAGCCCAGTGGGTCACACAAACATGCGCAAGTACACACTTGAACCGCGAAGGAGAGGACTTTGTGGGATTCGATACAGTACAGTCATTTGAGTCAGGGATAGAATAAAATGCCTATTTATAGAAAGTCTCTATATATATATATATATATATATATATATATATATATATATATATAAACAAACTTTGTCTTATTTGTGGTTCTGCTCAATTCAGAGTTGGCATAGGTTTCTACAGTGAAGTTGCTGTTAGTTTTAATGTCTGGGAATGGGACGAAGCTTGACAGTTGTATATGCATAAATGCATCAGCTGGCAGATCTACATGGTTTTTGCTGACATTAGCAAACATACATTTTGAAGACTGTTTTAAGTAAGAAGACACTTATGGTGAAAATATGCTACTATGTAAAATAGTAATTTTACCTTTAATTGTGCAGAACTTTTGTCAGTACAGTGCCTTCTTGTAAAAGTGTTTATTGAACTGGAACTTGACCATCACAAATCGAACATAATTCATTGGGATTCTATGTGAAAAGAAACACAAAGTAGAGTGAAAATCACACTGCCCTACAAAAATCTCTTCCTAAAAAAGTCTGGTGTGCATTATGTATTTGGCCCCATTTCCTCTAATGCGCCTAAACAGAAGTCAGTGCAACAAACTGCCTTCAAAAAAATCATCCAAATAGATTAATTAGTGTAACATTTATGTAACTTTGTCTCAGTGTAAATATGATTTTTCTGTGAAGGCGTCATTAGTGAACAAAAACCATCGCGAGGATGGAGAAACACAAACAGTTTTCAACATCTCAAATAATACTGTACAGTTGACAATCTGAAGGTTGAAACTTATGGCACAGCTGCAAGCCTAGACAGAAACAGCCAAAAGGCCCAAAGATGAGCTGTGCAGAGATCCACAGCTCATCTGGGAAAATCTGTGTCCAGTACAACTCTATCTAGTGCCCTATAAATGTGACTTTTACAGAAAAGTGAAAAGAATACAAAAAAAATGAAAGAAATGTAGCTTTAAACAAACTGAGACACACAAACATGTATAAGATGTAGAGTTGGAACGCTAACTCACTACATCATCCCTAACACACTCTCTTCATGATTGAACATTAGCAGTAGCATCATGTTGTTGGAAATGTTTTCTCCCATGGGTCAAGAAAACCTGCAGGCTGCAAAAGACGAGACAGAGCAGGAAAACTAACCTGAACATGCAGTGCGGATGTAATGGTTTATATCGAAGTATTCGTGTCAGAGTGATACAGAGTGCAGATGGCAAAATTTCAAATTGTTTACTTGAGATATTTTGAAAGAGCAACGGGAAAAACTTTTCACCTCTAGGTGTGAGAGCTGGTTGAAAAATACGGCGAAAGCTTTCAATTGCGATTAAAACAAAATGGTTAAAAAAAAAACGTATTGACTCCTGGGGATTGTTGTGTAATTTTCCTTCCACTTTGCAATTTTCCACTACCTTGTTTTGGTCATAACATAAAATTCCACTAAAGTACACTGAAATTTGTTGTTGCAACGTAACAAAAATGTTTAACTTTTCAAAGGATATGAATAATTTTACAAGGCACTGTTTACCAGAGCAGGAAAAAAGTCTACGTGTGTGAGCAAGAGCTGGAGGAAAATAAAGAGCAGTCGCACCTCTGACAATTTTTTTAGCAAAAGACCTCAGTTCAAGTTTCCTTCACTCTTTCTTTCAGGCATGCAAAGCCCCTCTGTTTGTCACCATTACTCTGAGAAAAACGATGCTCTGTCTGCATTCATTTTCCCACAGTGAAGGCAGTCACCGTTTTTTTATTCTGGCTGGCCCAGAATAACACATGCCTTGCTTTCCTTTTGATGTCCACAGCTCTGCTCATGTCTAAATCACCCCCCTCATCCCATCAGCACTAACATTTCCTCTTCTTTTACTCCTCCATGCCTGCCCTAAAGTGCCGTGGTTACAGTATAACATGGCTCCCAAGAGTTTAGTCCAGGTTTAATTCAAAGGTTGTGCGCCGAGGCCGCTTTAATGGCTACACCTTCTTCTGATATTCTTATTCAAAGGAAATTTCAAATGAGATTCGAACATGACTGTTTGAGAGTTTGGGGTATGTCTGTGTGAGCGCGTGCGTGCAACTGCACTTACATAAAGTGTATCACTCTTTAAGAAGCTACATGTCTGTATGTAGCACAGTACGTGCAACTTTCTCCTTTCATCTCACTTTTCTAAGAGGCTGAGAGAAAAGACGCTGCTGCTCTGATGGATGTGCTAATGCATTCATGTGCACACCGAGAACCCTGTGTGGATGCCGTGTTTTCTTTTTTCTTTTCTTTTTTTTTTATTTTGCAATTGTTGGTTGGAGCTGCACCAAACACACTGTGACACTTCCAGTCTGTGCTCTTGTAGCCTGAGTACCTCCCTTCAGCTCTGTACACAACCCCAGCTTTGCTGAAAGAGAATGAGAGACAAGCTGGGGCTCTCTGGAGGCCCAACCCTGTTAATCAACACAGTGCACTGGCAAGGAGCCCCAGTCAGATCAAATATAAAATACATTTGGAAAGGAGAAATGGAGTGTGAGAGATGGGCTGGGTTTGAAAAAAACACACACGCACACACACACACTTCAAACTGGATGCTTTATTCAGGACTAAAATCATTTGAGGATCCATGGTGATTGAATAACCCCGCAGATCTGTTAATATCAGGCATTGTGAATGCTGTCCCTGTTAACGATGTGTTTTTACAGATGGCTATTTAGAATGTTGCAGCAAACCAGGTTTTTTTTTTTTTTTCTCCCTCGTTTTTTGCATCCGCTGAATATTCGTTTTGTTAATGTGCCTGCAGGAATCCACTGCGATAACGTGTGCCCACAAGGCTTCTGGGGACCCAACTGTTCAGTCAGCTGTTCCTGTCAGAACGGAGGGTCCTGCTCTCCCGAGGACGGCACATGTGTGTGCGCACCTGGATACAGAGGGACTTCGTGCAAAAGAAGTGAGCCTCCTCCTCTATATAAAAAAAAAAAAAACGCAACCTCTCTTGATCCAAGGCTTTGAGCGATAACTGGCTGGTGCTGAGAGCTGCAGCGGTAACAAACTCCATCACACAGCTGACCTTGTTTTGATCTTTGAAGAATTGTTAAAGGTTGAGCCAACTGAGGAGAGGCACTCAGCTGTCGGTCAGAGCGGCTTGAGTGTAAATCCTTCATCACAGCTATCACTTAATCACAGTGTCTTTTTCCCTATGGCATCCCTCAAACACACACGCACACACACACACGTAAATACGTGCACGCCCCTCGTCCTCCTACACCGTCCTTAACAACCAGCTCACAGTGGGAGACTCGGTCCTTGCCTGAGGCTCATCAGTGGGCATGCTTACTGGGAGAGCCCGCTCTGCTGTCTGGGGGAAAAAAAAAAAGGTGGTGGTCGGGGGGGGAGGTTCTGTCTGAAGCCGCTCTCAAGTGAGGAGCTTACTGATTGGGAGCGAAATTCACAACCACAAACCTGTAAACATCAATTTGAGTGGAAAATAAGAGAGAAGCTTAAACAAGCTGCATGCATTGTGCGTGAGCGTGTGTTTGCCCCTCGAGCAAAATAATCACTCAGACAAATTCAATATTTACCCAAGTAATTTACTCATCAGGTAAAACGATTACAACTCGCAATCTGTGTGTGTATGCGTGCAGGGTGTGTGTGTGTGTATGTGCTTTTTTTTAATTTCATTTGAGACATCACATGGTTCCAGAGCTTGGTAATATGCTATACACCTGTTCCCTTAAATACGTTACAATTAACACCTAATGGCTTGTCATATTACTACTGTGATTTCGTTATCAGTTTTTAACAGGTCTCTATTTAGCTAGGAGCCGATTCTCTCCTGAGAATATCTACGCTGGAGGAAAAAACTTTCCCCGGTTCACTACCAAAAACAGTGTTTGTTGAAAACTGTGTCACATTAATTCTACAAACTTAATTATTTCGAAGCGGAAGTGATGACACTTTTTGGAGAAAAAAAAGCCTCAGCTCTTTTAACTAGTCCTTAATAAAATCCAGTGAAACATTCTGCTTTTGGAAGTCACCTAATTAGCAAACAGAGCGTTTAATCTCATTATAAAGACAGTGTTTCTGTGTATTCCTTAGAGAACAAACAGCATCATGAAGACCCCGGCAGGTACAGTAGGTCATGGACAAAGTGGTGGAGTTTTGTTAAAAGACAACATCGAAAAGTTTACAACATCTAGAACACTGATCCAAATTCTTTCCATCTAAAAATCTGAAGCTTAGGTGGGAAAAACTGTTGACAATTCAACTGCCAACAGTTTGCAAATCTAGTCTTGATGTGAGATTGGCAAGAAGAAAATCACTGTAGAAAGAAAGTTATAATAACTCCTAATTATACTTGGCCACATTCCATGTAAGAAATACACAAAACATGTAGAAGAAGATGCTCTGGTTAGATGTTTCCAAAATTATTTATTTGTCCTTCATTCAAAATGATGTTTGTGCAGGAAATATAACATCCCAAAGACTTTATCCAATCATGAAAAAAGGCAGTGGCAGCATCATACTTTTAGCAGCCTTCAACCTTAAACATGTAGCCAACATTACAGTGGGCAATGGTTTGCATATATGGACTACTTTGTGTTGGTGTATAACATTTATTTATAAAATTATTATACAAAATAATTTAAAAAAGTTTCAAGGGTGTAAATATGTTGGCAAGCCACTGTTGCATCTAGCAGACTTATCAGCTGCAGTCTCCCATTTCCAAAGACTAGGACCTTTATGAGTGATATAAGCAAAATAACATTTTATCCGCTTTTGATTCATATTCTTTCAGCACATTACCAAGACGGGGTTGTTTATTATTCCTGACATTTTTAGATCATAAAGCAGCTTTCAACTCTTGACACAGAAAAATATTTTTACACTTCTCTTAACTCCTACTATTCTGTCTGAGGCAGGAGATAAAATGTCGGTGATTACAATAATGACAGCTTTACTGCTCTCACCCTCCCCTTCACACGCTCTCCTTGTCTCCTCTGCTTTTAATTCCTCCGGCGTTGATTTTTCTCTACTCCCTTGATCGCTCTTGTCATGCTGTGTCCAATAATTATATACCTCTTGTTCCATCAACATTGGTGACTGATTCCCTCTCCTCTCCCCCGCCACGCTCTGTTGGCTGCAGTCTGCTCTCCGGGGTTCTATGGGCACCGCTGCAGCCAGACGTGTCCGCAGTGCGTGCACAGCATCGGCCCGTGCCATCATGTCACCGGCCACTGTGAGTGCCTCTCTGGCTTCACGGGCTCCCTGTGCAACCAAGGCAAGTAGCCTCCTGAGTCCTACTCCTTTTCCTGCACAGCTTCCTTTAAAGTTTTTTGTTTTTGTTTTGTATTTTTCGTTAGAAATCGATGCACATGTCTACATTCAGAGGTACTACTAAGCTGGGAAGTATTTCGAGTAAAAAGTGTAAATTTAAAAATTTAACTTTTTTTTTTTTTGCATCAGATAAGCGTCTCCACAATCCATATAAAAATCTCTCAGGCTGAGGTTTTCAGGCAAAGAATGCATGAATACACTTTGCAGAATCTCTATCTGATTCTGGAGCTGCATGTAAAATCTTTTCGTTAATGCACAAAGACGAATCATGTGCACATCACGTCTTACTGTAAAATTAGTTTTAACCTCTATGTACCGTATTGTTTTGGTGATGATTCAATTTTGCAGAAAAATGTGTTGATGACGGAATCATAGGGAGAAAAAAGAGCATTTTCTTTTATTTTGCAGCTTCTTCTTTTACCTAAATTTGTGTCTAAAGTGTGACATTGTTTCCTTCTTGCACTCTCAGGAATAATGCTTTTATATATATATATATATATATATATATATTATAATATGACCTCTCTTGATTTGCCACACTACATGGTATATGTAACCTTTTATCATCAGTATTTGGATTTTTCACATTCTGACTTTTTCCATTCATTCAGAAGTAAAAAAAAAAAGAGTTTAGTTTGAAATTGTCATGTTTCTTAAACTGGATCTAAAAGAAAGAAAGGCACTAAAATGACTGTTACACAAATTTTGTAAAGTTACCAAAGTGTGCTTTAAAGAATTTAGTTAAGGAAACTTTATTCTTCATTAATGGTTTAGTAACCATTAGGCCTTCATGGTTAGTAAGCTGATATAAGTTGGCACAAATACAAAAAAAGCAGCAAATAATCATGATTTGTGAAACATACAAATAATTTGACTCCATTGTTATTCAAGCTGGTTCAGAGTCAATAACTTGAACACAAATATCCAGAAAACTGATACGGAAATTCAGAAACAAAATATACAAATTTGGGTCTAGAAAAATGTGGAATTTTCTAATGGAAAAATGTGTACAAACCCAGAAAAGGACAGTCCTGGTAAACCTGTCGAAGGCTGCAGAATATTTGAGACTGGGCCAGAAGTTCACCTTCGAAGATGAGAACAACCTTGAACATACACCATTAGACACTATAGAATTATTTAGATCAGAGCAGCAATTTGTAAGAATGGCCTAGTCAAAGCTCACACCTAAATACAGTTAAAAATCTGTAATATAATTGGATGCTCTCCATCCAAATGAGATTCATATATTTTTGCAAAGAAATGGTTAAAACACCACACTTTTTAGTCTATTCCTGGGAACAGATTATCAAAACCCAACATCAATCCTTCAAAATTCCCAATTATGCACTACTTTGGAATGTTTTACTTAAAATCCCTATTAAATTTGATGAAGTTTGTGGAAATGCTTAGCCTCAACACTTTTGCAGGGACACTTTATTAAATATTGAAAACAGAAAGAAGCTACACCTTCATTCTTGTCTGACCTCTGTCCGTCTTGTAAGCCGAGTTTCACCTGTTTAAGATGAACTTGTGTTTGTGTACTCAAAATTTCAATTAAAACGAGTATTTGAAAAGAATCCGTGCAATTGTGCTACAGATTTTTACTTCTAATAATTCACTTTTCTTTTTTTTTTTTTTTTTTTTTTTTTTAAATCACAGAAAGCCATGGAGGATTGTCTTGAATTCTCTTTCATGGCTTTAAGCAGTATCTTATAAATAAAAGTTTAAAAGCTTAGCTGAAGGAAGAGAAGTGAGTAAAGATGAGAGCTGGCCCTAATTTGTCATGGCTATAATTACTATTGAGCAGCCGTTGGGCGACGAGGGACGGAGGTGGCCGACAACATGGATGTTCTCCTCCTTATGTTGATCCCCACTGGCGTCCTCACTTGTCCTTTGTCCAGCACGCAGAGTCCCAGCCTAATGAAGCTCTCCTAGTGAGCTGAGGTTTGAAATTCTCCCCGCAGCAGCATGGGGGAGTCAACCTCATGGCTTAATGACAACCTGCTTGAAGGAGCTTGAAAGAGCTCTCAAGAAGAGGGGAATGCCAGTTGAAATGCAATCATTAAAATCCCCCCACATGAAAATGAGTCCGACCCCGCTCTTCCTCAGCCAGCCACCTTATCAGATATTTCTAACACTGGGCTATTCTCTTTATATGAGACCTTTGATCTGTCTTCTGGTGCTGCAGCTCCCAAATCCTGACGCTGCGATACACCTTGGCACAATTTGTCTCCTCTCATCCCCCCTGCCCCTATAAAAAAAAGACAATAGACGCTTCGGTGGATATGATATATTTTGTAGAATACTGCCAGAGTGCATTGAAATATTAATTTCATAAAATATTTATACAGGGGTCTGTGTACACAGTCTATTTTAATTCTGTGGCGCATCACTCATTCCTCTCTAGTGGGTAGAAATAGGGCAGTTCTGCCACAGGAGGCAGTGATTAACTCCTCCTTTTGTCTAAACAGATCAGTTCACTTCATGTCCACTCCAATAGAACAATATAATGCATTAGAGGGAATGTTCACCTAAGCTGCTGTGGAAGTCTCTGTTGTAGTACACCTGCTCTTTGTAAAGTGCTCGGATTTTATGTAATTGTGCTCATACCTTTGACCAATATTTGGCCCTGTGTAATTACATTAACTTTAGAGGGGCTTATTTTTTTTTTTTTTTTTTTTTTTTTTTTCATTATTTTGCTTTTTGTTTTTATTTCGCAGTCTGTCCGAGCGGCAGGTACGGTAGGGCTTGCTCAGAGATCTGCCTCTGCACCAACAACGGCACCTGCAACCCCATCGACGGCTCCTGCCAGTGTTTCCCCGGCTGGACCGGAGATGATTGCTCGCAGGGTACTACTTCACCGTATCTGCCTCAAGTGTTTTTTTTTTTTTGTTTTGTTTTTTTTGTTTTTCTGCTTTACACATTTCCCTTGTTCTCATCGTTTGTCTCCCACTCTTATTTCCCCCTCATACGTTTAAATTCATACACATTAGTCATCTTCATGACCCTACTCATCCACAAGTAATGCCCTCGGCTCCAGATGATGTAAAACACATTGCTAGCTTAAATGGTTGTAGTAATGCATTATGCTCTTTGATTTACTGCACCTCAGGCCAAAGATCATTAAGCCAACTTTGAGCCAGCTCACCATGGGAAACAGATATGCATTGTGTGTGTGCATGTGTACTGCGGCTCTCAAAAATCTAGACACCCCTGTTAGACTGCCAAGATTTAGTGATGTAAAGTAAAGACCATGATAAATCATTTCAAAACTTTCTCCATGTGTATTTTAACATTAATCCTGTAAAATACAAGTTATACATTAGACAAAAAATAAAAAAGAGCTGCAATACGCTGGTGGCATAAATGTGGAGAAGCTTAAACAAACACCCTGTTTAAGCACCTTTTTGTGTACATACCTGTTGCCTGATATTTCCTGACATTTGGTTATTTTAATTCTTTAGCGAAAGCTACAGTTTTCAGGCAAGTGACAAAATATAAGAATGATCTCATTGTACAAAGGTATCAGTCAGAACAACAACAAAATAAATCAACAGCAATACTTACTTAACGTGGCGAGTGAAAGCGGTAAGCCGGAGAATCTATGGGACAACAATAACTTTACATTTCTCCAGAAAGTTTTGAAAGATGATATTGTAACTGTTCAGAGAGTTCAGCAAACAGCTGCAGAAGTTTGCAAAAAGTCCTATCTGTGTTCCTCATGTGTGACCAATCCCAATTTCTATTCTCCATTTGTCTGGACTACTTTTCAAGACAGAATAATTTTCTTCCCAAATCTTGTCAGTGGAAAACAGTGGGAGCATCTTTCAGTCAGCTGACTGGTGGTGTGCAGCAGCAGGTGTGGGAGGGGCAGCACTTTTACTCAACACTCCATAATGGAAATGCTAAAATCTGGTTACTTTCTCCTGAATCTCATCATAAACACTTTAAACTGTGGCTAAATATTTTCAGCCAGCCGGCCCCTACCTGCTTAACATCTGTCTGTTGATACAGGGTTTTCAGAATAGACAGTAAGATATATTTCACAAATGCTTCGAGGGTGTCCCAACTTTCATGTGTTTGGTGCATGTTTTAGGGTGCGACACATAGTGTGATCATGAGCCTGACTGTGTCTCTGGCATCTGCAGCGTGTCCCTCTGGGCACTGGGGTCCTGATTGTCTCAACTCGTGTAACTGTCACAACGGAGCCCAGTGCAGTGCCTATGATGGGGAGTGCAGGTGCAGCCCTGGCTGGACTGGTCTCTACTGCACACAGCGTGAGTTTTCCCCTCCCACACCCAGAAACAAGATGCACAGTGTCATCTACTGGCTGAGCTGCAGAACTGCAGTGGATGTTGTGGAGGCATGTTTTCCAGTCTCGAGGCTAATGTATGATGTGAAGTTTCCATTTTCAATTTTTTTTTTTTTTTTTTTTTAGGAAGAGCAACATCAAAAAAAGATAATGGTCACTTCATCATTTTGCTCATAATATATTCCAGTCATTTACTCACTGATAGTGCAGCTCATCAGCTTCAGTCCTGTAATTTGAATGCCATTATGCAGAACCCTAAGGGTTTACCCAGAGTTTGTTTGTAGAGTCAGGCTCATGCTATTGTGCATGATAAGGAACATTGTTTTAATTGTTTTCCTTCTTGTCACACAGTCCTAACATTCAATTGCGTGTTGTTCATGTTGTAGAACAAAAAGTTATGTTCACGGCATAACTGGGTTTTCTGCTGAAGCAGGAAATCTTTCATTTCCATTTATTCACAGAGTCCCTTATTGAGTATGCCGTGGTGACATTGAGTTGTATTGATTTCTCTATTCCCTGGTGATATGACCTTGACTCTTTACATTGTCTTCCACTCTCTTTTGCCTTTTCCCTCCCACCCCATCCGACCATTATATACATCTCTATCTCCAGGTTGTCCTTCAGGTTTCTACGGAAAAGACTGCTCTGAAGTCTGCCGCTGCCAGAACGGCGCCGACTGCGACCACATCTCGGGCCAGTGTGTTTGCCGAACGGGCTTCATCGGGACGGGCTGCGAGCAGAGTTGAGTGCGCCAGCCACATTTTTATTTCTATGCAAAATTACCCTGTGGATGTGTTTGGCTCCTGCTCACTAAGTGCTTTAATTTGATAAATGTAGTAATGTACTCCCCTGACATGCAGAGTGTCCTGCTGGTACATTTGGATATGGCTGCCAGCTGCTGTGCGAGTGCCTGAACAATGCAACGTGCGACTATGTGACTGGAACGTGCTACTGTAGCCCCGGATACAAAGGCATCCGCTGCGATCAAGGTGACTGAGCTGTTGGAGAAGTTGCACTGGATTATTGATGGAACATATGTGTACATATGGTTTAAGGCACTCACTGTTGTCGTTTTCTGTGTAGCAGCTCTGATGATGGAAGAGCTGAACCCGTACACCAAGATAAGCCCGGCACGTGGTTCAGAGCGGCAGTCTGCGGGGGCTGTCATGGGCATCATCTTTCTGCTTCTCATCCTCATGGCCATGCTTAGTGTGTTTGTGTGGTACAGGCAGAGACAGAGGGACAAGGGCCAGGAGATCCAGCCCAGTGTGTCCTACTCACAGGCAATGCACATTAACAACACTGACTACTCTCTTTCTGGTAAGATATTTCAATTAATGGCTAAATCTATTATTTACAACACAGAGAATAATGCATGTATGCCTACACATATACCCAACTGTGCCTACACACAGTATTCATAACCTTTAAACTTTTTCATATTTTGCCGAGCAACAGCTTAAACTTTGTTGCATTTTATTGGTGTCCTATGAGGTAAAACGTAAAATAATAATGAATAATTAAGTTGAAGCGGAAGGTAGAGACTACAGGGTTTAAAATATGAAAAGCGAGGCATGAATTTTTATTCCTGCATCTTTTTACTGTGATCCCCATAACTGAAAGCCAGTCCCACCAATTACCTTCAGAAGTCACCTGACACCAATGTTTGTAGAGTTAGGTCATAGTATCCCAAGCGTCTCGCAGAGCGCTGTTCAAGCCATTGTCTGAATATGGAATGAATATGGCACAACTGCAAACCCACTAAGACACAGCCGTCCACGTAAACAGATGGATGAATGAGGTCAAGATTAATCAGAGAATTGATCAGAGCCAAGTGGTTAAGAAGAAGTGGCTTGACTTTCACCTTGTAGTAGGACAAACACCTATCAGGAGCTGTAACAGGATGAAAAGTCGTTTGTTAGAGAAAGCCCAGTCAAAGTTCAGAACTATATCCTATTAAATATTTGTTGCGAGGGTTTAAAATGAATGTCCAAAGCTGCTCTTCATCCAATTTGATGGAGCTTGACATTTCGCAAAGAGGAATGGTCAAATATTTTTAGTCCTTAGATTTTCGAAGCTGGTAGAGACATACCTCAAAGCCTATCATTTTAGAGAAACCCGGTTCTACCCTTTTCAGATTTTAATTTGTAAAAAAAAAACATATATATATGAAAATCAGGTGTTATTTTTCTTCCACATCACATGCACTACTTGGTAACATTATTTATTTTAAAATAAATAATGTTGTGGTTTTAATATGACATAATGTAAAACACATCAAAATGTAAGAATATTGTTACAAAAAATTGTCTAAAAGTGCCATGGACCTAAAATTATCTTTTAAGCATCTCATCCTGTAAACTTTTAGAGTGTGGCAGTACTGTTGCAATGAGGACCAGCGCCTCAGAGATCAGTCAGAACCAGAACACCACCAGCAGCACTGCCCAATGCTTCTCCAACCCCAGTTACCCCACCGTAGCCCAGTGCAACGTGGTCTCCACCATTTCCAGCAACCTTGACGGGACTCTGACTCTCAAAGTACGGCCTTTCAACATTGGCATTTTCATTGCCTTTTTTTTTTTTTTTACCCAACAATACCACGTCGGAGCATTAAGCCATTGTCGTGTTATATTCTTCTTTTTTGCAGTCAAGTACCCTGAAGGGCCGAAATGCCTCAGAATGGAGAGCCTTCTGCAACCTTAATGACATAGGTCAGTCCTACTCTCACTTATTATGTCACACCACATATAGGCTGAGTTTGGATTTCAGAGCAATAAATGAGCAAAACTGTCAAATCAGGGGCGAAGACGTGCGTGTCATTAAAGCGGACCTCTCGGTGCCGGAAGCCTGCTGTGAATGAAGATGAAGCAGGGGTCTCTTGTTAAACATAACCTTTGCTCTGATTTTGATAAGATATGCGGGTAGGACAGGGGGAGAACTGGAGTGGAGATGAATAGGGGTCACTATGAGCTCATTAGTCCTCCTTCACTTCCCCAAGTGACCATGATGACTTTACAATGGGTCAAACGCTGCACACTTAGGATATTAATTATAGAAAATCCTACAACAAAGTGTGAGCGTTTTTTTTTTATTATTATTATTCAGGAGAGCAGCCTTTTATAAATGCCTCAGAAGAGCCGTGGTTGTGAAGAAAAACAAGTGTTTATCTGTCGATACGTAAAATGCAACAGGATGAAATCGGTTTGCACGTAGAAACGTGCAGCTGCTGTTCAGTAACAAGTATCTTAGATTAGTAAACATGCTAAAATCATTCTGCCGTGCTTATTTGAAGAAACATTGCATTTATTTAACGTGTTTTTGACTCTTTTTATCATTATTTCTTTACTGGCTTGATGCTCGCTCCTCTCGCAAGAAGAGATTTAAAAAGGATGATGTGACATTTTTTTTGTTTTATTACCTGGTATAACTGTAGTTGTTCTGTAATTATATATAAACCCAAACAATTTGATAACACAGTAACTGTTGATCAGTCCTGAATAGAATTGGATCTAATGAATACAGTCCACTCTTTTTATAATATAACCTACTGGGAATGTCACAATACTGATATGTCAAACAAGAACTTGATACCAAGAAAAATATTTGTTGCCAAAAATATAACCAGTTACTCTATAGTAATGTTCTCATTATCTTAATTTGGGAAAAGCCATTAAGTAAATGCAGATAAAATAAAAAATAAAAAAAAGCTGAAAATTGTGGCTTTCCTGTACACAACAGACAAGATGAGGAGAGGGGTTCACTGCTTGAGCATTTGATACCTGCTTGGAAGTGGTTGTGCACTGGGGAGACATATCTCCATATAAAATCAGAATGGGACTATTAAGTTGCTAATATTTAAGGAGATAATCCCAGCTTATCTGGGAGCTCACCGTTTTGCTTCTAAGCCGTGATTGTTTGGGTGAGCCTGCGCGGCTGGGGAAAAGGCTGATTGAGTGTGTGTGTCTGCAGGACTGTGGTGTGAAACCAACTTAAGGAGATGAAAATGTCTGTCTATAATTTGTGTTGTTGTTTTTTTTTTTTTAATTTACCATATTTAATTTAGATTAAGGTCTTGTCTGCCTGTTATCGTTATCAAAATATGCCGAGGTTTTAAAAGTTAGTTTCTGGGAATGCTTGAATCTTGCAGCTTAGCGTTACTTTGGTTCAACCCCGTTTAGACTACAGTCTCAAAAAGTAGAAGTTTCCAAAGTACCCACAAAATACTTTGTATTTTTAATAAATATTTAAGACCCTAGTATTTCAACAGGGTGTTCTTTCTTAAAAACTGCGGTGTCCATCATCACTGCCACTCTGATGGACATCTGCAACTTTTTTTCCAGGCGTCCTTGAGAAGTCTCCTTTGCCGGTGCGATAATAAAACCCCTCAAACACATGTTTGAAGATCAAACTGTGATAGATCGCTCTTCCTTAATTAAAACACCCTGCCTGCTCAAACCTGATTGTTATTCCACACTTTTCTCTGATATCACCTTTAAATAAACTGCTGATGATAAATGTTCAGACATTCCCTCACAGCTAAGAATTTATGTTGGAACATTTTTATGCTACATTTAGGCAGACATTTAGAAGATTTATAATGGTTAACACAGGCTTGCCATGAACACACTGCGCATTAAATTGTGTATTAAAGGATTCAACTTTTCCTTTTCAGTCGTGTTTAGGCTTGGAACTGTTAATGACTGCGTTCAACTCCATGATTGATGTTGAGAAATATGCAGAAAATATAAAAGACAGAATGTGCGCACAAGGCAGCAGAGACCGCAACCAAAAGTTATATATAAGAAATCAATGCATAACACAATGGCTAAACAAAGAGACAGTATGTATAGGGAAATATGCAGCTGCAGAGGTAGTTTCATGAGACAAAGACTTATATTGTCACCTTCCTAAAATAATGGACTATGTCTTTTTT